AAATTTCATCAAAAAAATGCATTTGTGACAATACCTAAATGAAATTCTTACACAAGAAACAAAAATTGTACGATTAACACAAATTGTGTTAATTGTAGAATTATCATTATCATCATGTCAGCAAAGCGGCAATAAAATATTTACTACCATTTTGCACAACACACCTCTGTGAGAGCGGATTTTCGGCCATGACAAACATGAAAACTAAATAATGTCACCGACTTCGACTCGAAGATGACTCGAGACTGAAGCTGACCAAAAAGCAACCAGATTTTACAAAGTTGTGCAAAGATAATCGTGCACATTTGTCACATTAAAATTAAATAACCTTATGTTATTTTCATTATTATTAGAATTGTATTTTAAAGGTAATAAATGTAAAAAAAACTTATTCTATTTCTCACTAGCTGTCTACCCATGGCTTCGCCTGCATTATATCGAATTTTCTCGTTGGAATAAGATATTTTCTTGCAGTAAAATGTAGCCTATGTCCATCTCCAACATGTACGCTATCTCTGTGCCAAATTTTATTAAAACCTGTTCGGCGGTTTAGATGTGAAAAGGTGACACAGACAGAATTACCTTCGAATTTATAATATTAGTATGGATTAATATGAATTTATACTATAAAGGGTATGCGAGTTTGAGCTCTTTCTTGAAGTGATACGCAGGAAAAACTAATTGGGAACCACTGCTCTAGGCGACCTGAATAAACATGGATGGATTGAGAAACTCTGAAATGTTTCGAGTGTGGTCTATCCAAATATATCTGATTCTGTTCCTCATCCATGATTTGTTTTAACCCATGATGGGTTTGATTAAAAAGGCCATCTCAATATCCACAGGATGGAAAGAGTAAAAAAAAAAAAAAGTATTATATATTGTAATTTATATAATTTTAACTAACAATATTCTGTTGAAATACTAACTGATAGAAAAATAGATGGAAAATGATAAAGGAAGACCAATTATTTGGTAATGGGATCAATTAAAAATTAGTATAGATGACTGATTTAATATCCAATAATCATGATAATTTTTAACTTAATCACACTTAATTAAAGAAATTTTAATATAAAAACAGATTTTAATATAAAGTTTATAATTCTGTTAATAGATACGAACTGAGAATTCGATATATTCCGAGTGTTTTGAGAGATGTTTACGAAAAAGATCGAATCACATTTTTTTATTTTTATGATCAGGCAAGTCTTAAATACTTAAATACAAGGAAGGTTTTATATACTGTATATATATGAATGATACTAAATCCATTGTTTTAAATTACAGATAAAAAATGAGTATTTAAAACTAGAGTCTGATATTGATCAAGAACTTGCCATTCAGTTATGTTGTATAGAAATAAGGTAAGTACTTTATTTTATCAAGCATAAAATGAATTACAATATAAGAATAGATAATACTAAATATCACTTTTGGATAGCTGTTATTATGTTCTATGTATGCATGTCTCTTTAATCCGACATTAAGTTCGGTAGACTATCATTACAGCTTTCAGGTTAGACACTTCTTTTATTGTTTCCACATATGCATTTTGGACTTATATAAATGCTAAGTATTGCACTGAAGAGGGACTTAACATTTATATAAGTCCGAAATGCATATGTGGAAACAATAAAAGAAGTGTCTAACCTGAAAGCTGTAATGATAGTCTACCCAACTTAATGTCGGATTAAAGAGACATACATACATAGGATAGATAATACTTCAGAAACTAAAGTATAAATGTAAATAAACTGCTTTTATTGAAGCAACAGAAGGAAGAAACAAGTGTTTAAATATTTACTACTTGTTTTGCTAGGTATAATCATAAACACAATTGCTGGATGGCCAAGGCAATAAACGTATTGGTATTCTGCTCTAGATATACAGGATAGAATATGGGAATTGTAAAAAACCGTAGGAAGTTTTTGGGGGTTATATATCCAGCATACATTAACCATATTCTTATTGATACTTCTTTTTTCTTTTTATGAAAGTAATATGCTTAGCATTTAAAATCACTTTGCCCTCCACCAGGCTAATGCTGTCTACATGAAATAAACTTACATAAAATTCGAAGTTATAATCATCCATGTTGTAATCATCCTATTATGGGTCTAGTCGAACTTTTAACCATATTGATGGGTATGATTAAGGCAGGTCCTCTTAATGTCTATAGGGTAGAAAGAGTTTAAAAGGGTAGAAAGTTCATTAAGTTAATTATAATCACAGAATTTAGTTAGTTGTTAATAATAAATCAGACTTGGCAGTGGTTATATATCTTTGACTAATTCATTATCTTTAAGAATTATAACAAAGAACAATGTTGCTATGGATAAGGGTAAATGATGTAGAAATGTATAACTATTAGTAAATTAACATTAAATAAATATATTATAAGAACATAATGCAGAAAAATTTAAAATTTAAACTGATTTTAATTATGTAAAATACACAATATGTGAGAGAATGTTTTCATGGAAGCAAGCCATCTCTATATATTCAGTAGTGATGCATCATTTTTTACACATTGGGTACATTCCAGTTTGCATCAAACAGTGCATTGATGAACTGTCTCCATGGTTATATTATTACTACCATTTTAACTACTCGTTTATATTAACTCAACATTATTTTGACAAAATTAGTGTACAAATGCCAACATAGTGCTGTTTGCTTCTGGTAAAAGCTTATTAAACCATTCACTGGCAAATCAGTTGTGGTTATGGGATGAGTGCTAGAATGCACCCGTTGTTTTAGACGATTCTTAGCATTGCCGATCGATTGAATTGTTCTGTTTAGTTATGTGTGAAGATTATGAATTATCCAAAATATTTGCATGTTTTTTTTTCTTGTGCTGATTTAATTAAAAGGTTATTTTTATATTTATATTAAAAGAATGTTTAAATGTAGGCGATACTTCAAAGACATGACACATTTTGCATTGGATAAAAAATCCAATTTCGAGTATCTGGAGAAAGATATAGGACTACATAAATTTCTTCCTTCATCTGTGATAATGAATAACAAGGTAATTTAGTTTCCTTTTATGTAATAACTTAAGTATTAAAATAATTGCATGCATAATATAACTTTTCATTAATTCTTTTTTAGCCAAAGACATTAAGGAAACTGATTCAGAGTCATTTTAAGAAATATTCCTTACTGAGTGAAGTCGAATGCATGTTTAAATTCTTCGAATTGGTGTATCAGGTGCTGAAGTACGACAGAGAAAGTTTCGAATGTTCTTTAGGGGTTAGTATCATTTTTATTTTGTCCGCAATGATTTAAAGTGTAAATATTAAGGCATAGTTCACATGTACTAATGCCTACCAGTGGTCGAGTAGACAATGCCACTGAACGTTGGTAGCTGGTTGTGGGTTTGCGCCATACCAAAAGGCTTGTAACATGGAGTCTTCTGTATTTTCTTCTAACAACAGTTAATGCTTAGGCAAATCTATGTTATCTGTGACCAGTATACTGCCCCGGATGCTTCACTGCTATTCAAAACTTAGGCAATTCATTAATTATTTGACATTTTTTTTAAATATTATTGATTCTTACTTCCAATATTTCACAACGTTTGAATTAAGTTCAGTCATTCGCATCGTTAAACATAATTTATTCATAGTATAAAGTATTGTTTCACCCTAGGAACTTCTTCAGGTGTTCTATACAGATATTTCTGGTGCAATCTGGGTTCAATTAGTTTGTATAGAACACCTGAAGAAGTATTGATTGTAATAAATTATAACATTGAATTGAAAAGTTATCAGCTTTATGTTTTTACAGATTGGTTGGAGTGTTCCAATTGAACTTGTTATAGGACCCAGCATTGGAGTTAGTTATATCGGAGACAGAACAGGAAAGGTATATTTTACATTAATTCACTTATTTTAAATTATAAATGCTGTTTTGACTGATATAGAACAGAATTAGGGAATAATAACAAGTATAAATTTAAAAATAATACAAATTGATGACTAAATACATATAAAATTTGCTGTTTTCTTGTATTTTTTTCCAACTACCGAAATGTAATTAATAGACTTTTACTTTGAAATTCTGCCTATAATTTTGTAAAAACTTTTGATTAATTTGCATAATTGTGGACAGGGAAGAGTCTCAAAGCAAAGGGCAGTTTTAACGGTTTTAATTGTTGAAAAGAATGCGAGAAGACAGCAAATTTTATTGTATTTAGTGTGTTATTTTTAAATTTACATTTATATTGAGATGTATCCTTAAGTTTGTTAAGGAAGCTTTTCAACATACCTGAATACAATGGAAATGGAAAAATTCTTTCAATTAATTAGAAATTGTAATGATAAATGTGATTGTGCGTAAAGCCATATGCATGAAATATTAGCATTTTCTCAAATGAACAAACATATATTACAATACTTCTTGCATCTTTCTACCTTTTGGGCACTAAGAGGGTCTTTTTATGGACACATCATTGATTTGACTACACCTTCAATGGAGCGACTAGGTTGTTCGAGGGAGGAGATCCGACATATTCGGGACTAACCACTCATGTAAACTATTTGGTTTTCCACCCATATTCAATTTGGGGCTCCTCCAGAGTGTCAGACTGATGCTTAACTGCTTCAGCTAACTGACTGGCAATATTACAATAATATAACGTATTGAAATCTACATTGTTATTTGAGAAAAATGCTGTTTGCTGCATGCATTATGCGGCAGTGAGATCTAGTGTTAATACAATAGGTGATGAATTCATATCGAGTAGTTAATACAGTATAATTTCAATGAGCTTGCTATTTATATTTATGTTTCAAAATAAATATTCTGGTAAGATGTAATATAAAATATATTTTCAGTTAATTCACGTTGCCAATTTTTCGAACATACAAAGTATTCAGACGTCAAAGTCGGATGCCGAATCCAATTATAAAGGTGTCGTGCAGTTAAAAATTGCTGGCGCTTGTGAGGTATGAAGACGTTATAAGCATGTATCCACTAAATTCAGTTCATTATGTTTTAAATATTTAAAATTTTTCTCTGCAGGTTTTGAATATCTCTTGCTCATCCCTCTTAATTGCAGAAAATATAGCCGCATTAATTGACGGTTATTGCTGCATTATGGATACAAACAGAGTGTCGATCTGGACCAGAAATGGTAGAGATTTACTTAAAATATGAAATGAACCTATAAATTGGTTTATATATATATTATTTGTTTTGTTTGTTAAACTATGCTTTTATTTATTTATTTTTATTTAGTTTTGCTTTATGTTAACGATTTACTTTATTTCTATTAAAGTGTTCGTATGGAATTCTCATGTAAACAAAATTATGTCTTCAGGTTTGTCCTTTGTGGATCTTTGCTTTCTGCATAATCGCTTACGTTTGCATTATTTATCGTTAATTTTACTCTAATTCTATCTGCATTATTCTTTGATTATTAGGGTGAGTGAAATGAAAGTGATCCGATGTGATTTATTGTCAAACTGTCACCTCTAAATTAAAAGTAATCTCCAGCATTGAGGCATTTGTCCTGTTGGGTAATGAGCTTGGTGGTTTATGCTCATACAAGCTCTTTGATGACATCTTCTGCACCTTTGCTTATGAGATGAATTTGTGACCATTCAGTTGCTTCTTCAGTTAATTGTGAGGGCCAGGATTTAGGAGGGCTGAGATTCGAATAGTTATATTCATTTTGTTCATTCATTTACCGTTTTGTTTCAAAATCAAACCGATTTTTTTTTAAAGTTAGGGTTAACACAAAAAGGGAAAAACAACCGACAAATTTTCTCATAAAAATTGCTCATAAAAACTCCGTTCCCACGACAATACTTCCCTGCAGAAGATGAGCTAACTGTTGTGTCATAAGTTTGTCACTTCGCCCACCATTGGTCAACGAAGATCATCACCTGTGACGTACATGGGGAAATCAGAAAAAGAGAGTCCCCATATAAAAGACAAGTAGGATGACGACACAGGGGGGGGGGAAAGTTATTGTTCTGTACTCTGTGGGTGTGTGTGGATTACCTGCCTCTCGTCGCCACCATCCTCGATAGAACTATTCTACGATTTGCAGACTTACGTCAACTCACGAACTATTTTAACGAGCCCGGGATTCAGACTCCAAGATCGTCCTGAAACCACCATCCTGTATAACTAGAGGTATTTATTTTACACGCGATGATGTGTAAGCTCTCTCTCGAATATTCCAATCTCGCGGGTAGGGTTGCGACTACTTTATACTTTGCCGTTACTTTATGAACTATACGGATTGAAAATCCCGAGAGGGATTTGTATTCCAATTATTAACCATGTATAAATGTACGGAATAAACGGATATTTTGTTAACGAACGATTGGAGTGCATTTCTTCCACCATTATCACCTTCATACTGAACCCGAAGTCCTTGACGAGATCGCTCGTGATAATTCCCCCATCTCTCCGCGTATCTATCCACGATAAATTGATAGATTGGTGTCAGATCCTAAAGAATCTAACGATCCTTTCTCCTAACCCTTTTTTTTTTTCCCCATCCTTTAGACAAGCGAGACCGGACCTCAAGGTCTTGAGTCGAGTAAGTGGTAGGAGAGGAACATCCTCGTAAACATCCTACCCCCGATTAGTTTCACATTATGAAACATGTGAAAGTTGCATGGTGAAAGGTCCTAAATGTAGGGTGGTTAGAGATTTACTTAGAAGCTCTTTGACGTATCAATACAAATACTTCAATGCCAATGTTCATTACTTTTAACTTGCAGGTAACAGTTTGCAAATAAAGCAGTTTGGCTTACTTTCATTTGACTCGTTCTAATAAACTCGGCACCACATTATAGTTACTTTCCTTTCTTTAAATCTGTTATTGAAATTAATTTGTAAATTCACTTAAATGTTTAAAAATTACAATATATTAAAACATTTAAACTATATGTTACTTAAATTTTGCAGATAGTCCAACTACAAAATACAGGTATAATTTAATTTTGTTAGTTACGATAAACTTTGTAAAACTGCAAATTTTTATATTTATTAACGTCTTTGCAGCAGTATACCCAAGAAGTATTTAAGTTCAGGTTCGTCTAGTGATAAAGATACTAACTTTTCAGGTAAATTAATATTCTACTGTGTTATAAAGGTATTGACAAGTAATGAAAGTTTAGAAATACTAAGATCTTTATTTGCTTTTACAGAAGACTATGCAGAAATTGTGGATGAAGATTATTCTACCCCCAGTGGTAAGATTCTTACAGTTTTGGTATTTAAACTTTAACAAAAACCTTATTTTTGGCTCGATTATTACAGCTAAAGAATACGAACTGAAAAGGGCACACATCTATCTATCAGAAATAATAGGAGAAGGACAATTTGGCGATGTTCATAAGGGAACTTACAGGTGTAAAGTATGTATCTAGAATCATAAAAGTTCACTAGACTTAATAAAGATGTAAATGAAACAAAGTATTAATAGTGTTTAGTTTAAATCTATAGCTTCCCATGATATGAAATATCTGAACATTAGTTTATAAGAAATAAAGAATAAACAATTAGATAAAAATGAGTAATGTAAACTAAAGTAAGAAATGATCTTTTTACCATTTAATCATCTCAAACCCAAATAATTACCATAATGTATCAGGTTATTTATTTAATTAAATTACTTAAAAAATATTAAATTAAATTATTAAATTAAATTACAGTAAATTATATTNTTATTTTCGTGGATTTATGTACTAATATAATATGTAATCATACCTGAATATAATCATATGTATAATGACACATGACTTTACCAAATAAATGAGTAAATCTTTATGAATTTTTACTTACATGGTTTATGGACCCAAAAAAATGTCGGGGTGGACAAACGCCCCACTGCACTAATGCCGGAAAAAAACTCAGTGCACTAACGCAGAGTTATGAATTCGTAATGGTGATTGAAACATGTAATTATACCATTAAGGATTATGGTATTGTAAAATAATGTTGCAGTAGCACAAGTCTGTCCCTTGATCATTGGTCGTTGATGATTGAAGTGATGATTGATCATCATTGGCTCAGTAGATATATAATAGATAACATTAAAATAATATACAAAAACTAACTCGTAACTAAATGTGACAGCCAAATGGCTAAGAGAGATAAAGCATCAATCTTCCATTTTGGAGGACATTGTATTGAATGGGTGGTCCATTCCAGTTATGTTGGGTCTTATCTCTTACTCCCAGTTGGCCGCATTGTGTGTTGGCTGAACTGATGACGGATAGTTGCTTATGAAGGTTAAATGTGTTTATTTAATAAAAATATAAATCTTCTGTTATATTTCTGAATGAATTGTTATTTTTAGGCATTCTAGACATATTTTTTCAAGCTTTAGTTTCCTGGATGATTTTTGATTGTTAAGATAATATTGTAAGCTATTACATGTTAATTGATGGGCAGCTGAATGATTAAGGAATTAGCCTACCAAGAATAATGCTCTAGGCCAGTGATTCCCAATTAGTGGTACGCGTACCCCCTAAGGGTACGCGAAATTTCATGAAGGGGTACATGCGGCAATCTAAAATCGGTCAATTTAAATGCACGAGATGAAGCAATCAAAAAAATAACGGGTGGACCATAAAAAATACGGCAATTTACAACACTGTGTCAAATGCACAAATTTGTTTATTTATAACTAAAAATATTCTCGAAATTTCATCAAAAAAATGCATTTGTGACAATACCTAAATGAAATTCTTACACAAGAAACAAAAATTGTACGATTAACACAAATTGTGTTAATTGTAGAATTATCATTATCATCATGTCAGCAAAGCGGCAATAAAATATTTACTACCATTTTGCACAACACACCTCTGTGAGAGCGGATTTTCGGCCATGACAAACATGAAAACTAAATAATGTCACCGACTTCGACTCGAAGATGACTCGAGACTGAAGCTGACCAAAAAGCAACCAGATTTTACAAAGTTGTGCAAAGATAATCGTGCACATTTGTCACATTAAAATTAAATAACCTTATGTTATTTTCATTATTATTAGAATTGTATTTTAAAGGTAATAAATGTAAAAAAAACTTATTCTATTTCTCACTAGCTGTCTACCCATGGCTTCGCCTGCATTATATCGAATTTTCTCGTTGGAATAAGATATTTTCTTGCAGTAAAATGTAGCCTATGTCCATCTCCAACATGTACGCTATCTCTGTGCCAAATTTTATTAAAACCTGTTCGGCGGTTTAGATGTGAAAAGGTGACACAGACAGAATTACCTTCGAATTTATAATATTAGTATGGATTAATATGAATTTATACTATAAAGGGTATGCGAGTTTGAGCTCTTTCTTGAAGTGATACGCAGGAAAAACTAATTGGGAACCACTGCTCTAGGCGACCTGAATAAACATGGATGGATTGAGAAACTCTGAAATGTTTCGAGTGTGGTCTATCCAAATATATCTGATTCTGTTCCTCATCCATGATTTGTTTTAACCCATGATGGGTTTGATTAAAAAGGCCATCTCAATATCCACAGGATGGAAAGAGTAAAAAAAAAAAAAAGTATTATATATTGTAATTTATATAATTTTAACTAACAATATTCTGTTGAAATACTAACTGATAGAAAAATAGATGGAAAATGATAAAGGAAGACCAATTATTTGGTAATGGGATCAATTAAAAATTAGTATAGATGACTGATTTAATATCCAATAATCATGATAATTTTTAACTTAATCACACTTAATTAAAGAAATTTTAATATAAAAACAGATTTTAATATAAAGTTTATAATTCTGTTAATAGATACGAACTGAGAATTCGATATATTCCGAGTGTTTTGAGAGATGTTTACGAAAAAGATCGAATCACATTTTTTTATTTTTATGATCAGGCAAGTCTTAAATACTTAAATACAAGGAAGGTTTTATATACTGTATATATATGAATGATACTAAATCCATTGTTTTAAATTACAGATAAAAAATGAGTATTTAAAACTAGAGTCTGATATTGATCAAGAACTTGCCATTCAGTTATGTTGTATAGAAATAAGGTAAGTACTTTATTTTATCAAGCATAAAATGAATTACAATATAAGAATAGATAATACTAAATATCACTTTTGGATAGCTGTTATTATGTTCTATGTATGCATTTCTCTTTAATCCAACATTAAGTTCGGTAGACTATCATTACAGCTTTCAGGTTAGACACTTCTTTTATTGTTTCCACATATGCATTTTGGACTTATATAAATGCTAAGTATTGCACTGAAGAGGGACTTAACATTTATATAAGTCCGAAATGCATATGTGGAAACAATAAAAGAAGTGTCTAACCTGAAAGCTGTAATGATAGTCTACCCAACTTAATGTCGGATTAAAGAGACATACATACATAGGATAGATAATACTTCAGAAACTAAAGTATAAATGTAAATAAACTGCTTTTATTGAAGCAACAGAAGGAAGAAACAAGTGTTTAAATATTTACTACTTGTTTTGCTAGGTATAATCATAAACACAATTGCTGGATGGCCAAGGCAATAAACGTATTGGTATTCTGCTCTAGATATACAGGATAGAATATGGGAATTGTAAAAAACCGTAGGAAGTTTTTGGGGGTTATATATCCAGCATACATTAACCATATTCTTATTGATACTTCTTTTTTCTTTTTATGAAAGTAATATGCTTAGCATTTAAAATCACTTTGCCCTCCACCAGGCTAATGCTGTCTACATGAAATAAACTTACATAAAATTCGAAGTTATAATCATCCATGTTGTAATCATCCTATTATGGGTCTAGTCGAACTTTTAACCATATTGATGGGTATGATTAAGGCAGGTCCTCTTAATGTCTATAGGGTAGAAAGAGTTTAAAAGGGTAGAAAGTTCATTAAGTTAATTATAATCACAGAATTTAGTTAGTTGTTAATAATAAATCAGACTTGGCAGTGGTTATATATCTTTGACTAATTCATTATCTTTAAGAATTATAACAAAGAACAATGTTGCTATGGATAAGGGTAAATGATGTAGAAATGTATAACTATTAGTAAATTAACATTAAATAAATATATTATAAGAACATAATGCAGAAAAATTTAAAATTTAAACTGATTTTAATTATGTAAAATACACAATATGTGAGAGAATGTTTTCATGGAAGCAAGCCATCTCTATATATTCAGTAGTGATGCATCATTTTTTACACATTGGGTACATTCCAGTTTGCATCAAACAGCGCATTGATGAACTGTCTCCATGGTTATATTATTACTACCATTTTAACTACTCGTTTATATTAACTCAACATTATTTTGACAAAATTAGTGTACAAATGCCAACATAGTGCTGTTTGCTTCTGGTAAAAGCTTATTAAACCATTCACTGGCAAATCAGTTGTGGTTATGGGATGAGTGCTAGAATGCACCCGTTGTTTTAGACGATTCTTAGCATTGCCGATCGATTGAATTGTTCTGTTTAGTTATGTGTGAAGATTATGAATTATCCAAAATATTTGCATGTTTTTTTTTTCTTGTGCTGATTTAATTAAAAGGTTATTTTTATATTTATATTAAAAGAATGTTTAAATGTAGGCGATACTTCAAAGACATGACACATTTTGCATTGGATAAAAAATCCAATTTCGAGTATCTGGAGAAAGATATAGGACTACATAAATTTCTTCCTTCATCTGTGATAATGAATAACAAGGTAATTTAGTTTCCTTTTATGTAATAACTTAAGTATTAAAATAATTGCATGCATAATATAACTTTTCATTAATTCTTTTTTAGCCAAAGACATTAAGGAAACTGATTCAGAGTCATTTTAAGAAATATTCCTTACTGAGTGAAGTCGAATGCATGTTTAAATTCTTCGAATTGGTGTATCAGGTGCTGAAGTACGACAGAGAAAGTTTCGAATGTTCTTTAGGGGTTAGTATCATTTTTATTTTGTCCGCAATGATTTAAAGTGTAAATATTAAGGCATAGTTCACATGTACTAATGCCTACCAGTGGTCGAGTAGACAATGCCACTGAACGTTGGTAGCTGGTTGTGGGTTTGCGCCATACCAAAAGGCTTGTAACATGGAGTCTTCTGTATTTTCTTCTAACAACAGTTAATGCTTAGGCAAATCTATGTTATCTGTGACCAGTATACTGCCCCGGATGCTTCACTGCTATTCAAAACTTAGGCAATTCATTAATTATTTGACATTTTTTTTAAATATTATTGATTCTTACTTCCAATATTTCACAACGTTTGAATTAAGTTCAGTCATTCGCATCGTTAAACATAATTTATTCATAGTATAAAGTATTGTTTCACCCTAGGAACTTCTTCAGGTGTTCTATACAGATATTTCTGGTGCAATCTGGGTTCGATTAGTTTGTATAGAACACCTGAAGAAGTATCGATTGTAATAAATTATAACATTGAATTGAAAAGTTATCAGCTTTATGTTTTTACAGATTGGTTGGAGTGTTCCAATTGAACTTGTTATAGGACCCAGCATTGGAGTTAGTTATATCGGAGACAGAACAGGAAAGGTATATTTTACATTAATTCACTTATTTTAAATTATAAATGCTGTTTTGACTGATATAGAACAGAATTAGGGAATAATAACAAGTATAAATTTAAAAATAATACAAATTGATGACTAAATACATATAAAATTTGCTGTTTTCTTGTATTTTTTTCCAACTACCGAAATGTAATTAATAGACTTTTACTTTGAAATTCTGCCTATAATTTTGTAAAAACTTTTGATTAATTTGCATAATTGTGGACAGGGAAGAGTCTCAAAGCAAAGGGCAGTTTTAACGGTTTTAATTGTTGAAAAGAATGCGAGAAGACAGCAAATTTTATTGTATTTAGTGTGTTATTTTTAAATTTACATTTATATTGAGATGTATCCTTAAGTTTGTTAAGGAAGCTTTTCAACATACCTGAATACAATGGAAATGGAAAAATTCTTTCAATTAATTAGAAATTGTAATGATAAATGTGATTGTGCGTAAAGCCATATGCATGAAATATTAGCATTTTCTCAAATGAACAAACATATATTACAATACTTCTTGCATCTTTCTACCTTTTGGGCACTAAGAGGGTCTTTTTATGGACATATCATTGATTTGACTACACCTTCAATGGAGCGACTAGGTTGTTCGAGGGAGGAGATCCGACATATTCGGGACTAACCACTCATGTAAACTATTTGGTTTTCCACCCATATTCAATTTGGGGCTCCTCCAGAGTGTCAGACTGATGCTTAACTGCTTCAGCTAACTGACTGGCAATATTACAATAATATAACGTATTGAAATCTACATTGTTATTTGAGAAAAATGCTGTTTGCTGCATGCATTATGCGGCAGTGAGATCTAGTGTTAATACAATAGGTGATGAATTCATATCGAGTAGTTAATACAGTATAATTTCAATGAGCTTGCTATTTATATTTATGTTTCAAAATAAATATTCTGGTAAGATGTAATATAAAATATATTTTCAGTTAATTCACGTTGCCAATTTTTCGAACATACAAAGTATTCAGACGTCAAAGTCGGATGCCGAATCCAATTATAAAGGTGTCGTGCAGTTAAAAATTGCTGGCGCTTGTGAGGTATGAAGACGTTATAAGCATGTATCCACTAAATTCAGTTCATTATGTTTTAAATATTTAAAATTTTTCTCTGCAGGTTTTGAATATCTCTTGCTCATCCCTCTTAATTGCAGAAAATATAGCCGCATTAATTGACGGTTATTGCTGCATTATGGATACAAACAGAGTGTCGATCTGGACCAGAAATGGTAGAGATTTACTTAAAATATGAAATGAACCTATAAATTGGTTTATATATATATTATTTGTTTTGTTTGTTAAACTATGCTTTTATTTATTTATTTTTATTTAGTTTTGCTTTATGTTAACGATTTACTTTATTTCTATTAAAGTGTTCGTATGGAATTCTCATGTAAACAAAATTATGTCTTCAGGTTTGTCCTTTGTGGATCTTTGCTTTCTGCATAATCGCTTACGTTTGCATTATTTATCGTTAATTTTACTCTAATTCTATCTGCATTATTCTTTGATTATTAGGGTGAGTGAAATGAAAGTGATCCGATGTGATTTATTGTCAAACTGTCACCTCTAAATTAAAAGTAATCTCCAGCATTGAGGCATTTGTCCTGTTGGGTAATGAGCTTGGTTGTTTATGCTCATACAAGCTCTTTGATGACATCTTCTGCACCTTTGCTTATGAGATGAATTTGTGACCATTCAGTTGCTTCTTCAGTTAATTGTGAGGGCCAGGATTTAGGAGGGCTGAGATTCGAATAGTTATATTCATTTTGTTCATTCATTTACCGTTTTGTTTCAAAATCAAACCGATTTTTTTTTAAAGTTAGGGTTAACACAAAAAGGGAAAAACAACCGACAAATTTTCTCATAAAAATTGCTCATAAAAACTCCGTTCCCACGACAATACTTCTCTGTAGAAGATGAGTTAACTGTTGTGTCATAAGTTTGTCACTTCGCCCACCATTGGTCAACGAAGATCATCACCTGTGACGTACATGGGGAAATCAGAAAAAGAGAGTCCCCATATAAAAGACAAGTAGGATGACGACACAGGGGGGGGGGAAAGTTATTGTTCTGTACTCTGTGGGTGTGTGTGGATTACCTGCCTCTCGTCGCCACCATCCTCGATAGAACTATTCTACGATTTGCAGACTTACGTCAACTCACGAACTATTTTAACGAGCCCGGGATTCAGACTCCAAGATCGTCCTGAAACCACCATCCTGTATAACTAGAGGTATTTATTTTACACGCGATGATGTGTAAGCTCTCTCTCGAATATTCCAATCTCGCGGGTAGGGTTGCGACTACTTTATACTTTGCCGTTACTTTATGAACTATACGGATTGAAAATCCCGAGAGGGATTTGTATTCCAATTATTAACCATGTATAAATGTACGGAATAAACGGATATTTTGTTAACGAACGATTGGAGTGCATTTCTTCCACCATTATCACCTTCATACTGAACCCGAAGTCCTTGACGAGATCGCTCGTGATAATTCCCCCATCTCTCCGCGTATCTATCCACGATAAATTGATAGATTGGTGTCAGATCCTAAAGAATCTAACGATCCTTTCTCCTAACCCTTTTTTTTTTTCCCCATCCTTTAGACAAGCGAGACCGGACCTCAAGGTCTTGAGTCGAGTAAGTGGTAGGAGAGGAACATCCTCGTAAACATCCTACCCCCGATTAGTTTCACATTATGAAACATGTGAAAGTTGCATGGTGAAAGGTCCTAAATGTAGGGTGGTTAGAGATTTACTTAGAAGCTCTTTGACGTATCAATACAAATACTTCAATGCCAATGTTCATTACTTTTAACTTGCAGGTAACAGTTTGCAAATAAAGCAGTTTGGCTTACTTTCATTTGACTCGTTCTAATAAACTCGGCACCACATTATAGTTACTTTCCTTTCTTTAAATCTGTTATTGAAATTAATTTGTAAATTCACTTAAATGTTTAAAAATTACAATATATTAAAACATTTAAACTATATGTTACTTAAATTTTGCAGATAGTCCAACTACAAAATACAGGTATAATTTAATTTTGTTAGTTACGATAAACTTTGTAAAACTGCAAATTTTTATATTTATTAACGTCTTTGCAGCAGTATACCCAAGAAGTATTTAAGTTCAGGTTCGTCTAGTGATAAAGATACTAACTTTTCAGGTAAATTAATATTCTACTGTGTTATAAAGGTATTGACAAGTAATGAAAGTTTAGAAATACTAAGATCTTTATTTGCTTTTACAGAAGACTATGCAGAAATTGTGGATGAAGATTATTCTACCCCCAGTGGTAAGATTCTTACAGTTTTGGTATTTAAACTTTAACAAAAACCTTATTTTTGGCTCGATTATTACAGCTAAAGAATACGAACTGAAAAGGGCACACATCTATCTATCAGAAATAATAGGAGAAGGACAATTTGGCGATGTTCATAAGGGAACTTACAGGTGTAAAGTATGTATCTAGAATCATAAAAGTTCACTAGACTTAATAAAGATGTAAATGAAACAAAGTATTAATAGTGTTTAGTTTAAATCTATAGCTTCCCATGATATGAAATATCTGAACATTAGTTTATAAGAAATAAAGAATAAACAATTAGATAAAAATGAGTAAAGTAAACTAAAGTAAGAAATGATCTTTTTACCATTTAATCATCTCAAACCCAAATAATTACCATAATGTATCAGGTTATTTATTTAATTAAATTACTTAAAAAATATTAAATTAAATTATTAAATTAAATTACAGTAAATTATATTGAATTATTATAATTATTAAATTTAATTAATAAATTGCACCTAATGTCTAACTCTAATAACAAATTACTTAATATCTAATTATTAATAGTAGTGAAAAGTAGCCCAATACATTATGGCAATTCTTTTGTTTTTGAAATTAAATAGGATTTCTGAACAACACTATCAAACTAGGTTTTTAAGATTACTTTGTAGGTCTTTACTTCCAAACTGTGGCTTTTCTAGACCCTTATTTTGGCTCCTGTATATTAGACTCGTACCCCTATATATATACATCCACATATCAAGCCAGGTCAATCAACACCAATACTAACATTAACAATGCAGAAGAGAAACAGGTCGACCTAAGTTACGAACCATTCCTCCATTGCATATACAAGAGAACGGGCAAAGATTTAAACATATGCATAGCGTACAAAAGGAAACCCACCATGTTCCGCCTTTCTTCTAATGTGAAGGATGAAACCGAGGATGCTAAAGCACCTGAAACTTATCGCATCCCACTAAAGGATGACAAGTTCGACCAGACACTAACTACATTGTTTCCATATACAGATCATTACAAGCCCAGTTATGCGATCACAGGTACGACGTTGCAAAAGGAAACATCAATAAGGCTCTAGCCCTGTATATATATATATTTTAAAAACCATTCAAATATAGGATGCAGCTCTTGAAAAGTTTATGACTCTTATTGTGACAAGGTGTGGCCAACCTGGCAGTATACTGTACAATTCAAATTTTTATGCAAAGCAGTTGCTAGTGCTAAGAATTTATATGGCTGAGCAGTTGATGTGACTGGGTAACTAGGAATGAATCTGAACTAGTTGGAAAATTCAGGAATATCTGAACAGCAGTCCATTCTGGATGGGCTGGGTCCCCCATTACCCATCCAGCTGCATTATTGTGGGCTTGATTAAAAAGGTTCTGTTAGTGTTTTAGGTGGAAAAAGACAAAAAAATATCTTTTACGCACATAGAAAGTATATAGATAACTCAGATATATTTTTTATTGTTTTTTACTAAATTAGGATGACCAAATTATGGAAGTAGCAATTAAAACTTGTAAGATAGAAAGTGAAGAATCTATGGGAGAAAAGTTTTTAGAGGAAGCATGTAAGCATATTTTTGTCATCCATTAACTAAATATTGTTTCTATTCTAACATAACTTTTCACATTAAATTGTATTTGATGTTTAGATATAATGCAACAGTTTGATCATCCGCACATAATTAAATTGATTGGTATATGTTCTGACTCTCCGATATGGATAGTAATGGAACTTGCAAGGCATGGAGAAGTATGTAAAATGATTATATTCTTGTCTTATTTTATGGTTTGCAATATATTAAAATTATTTCAGATGAGGGCATATTTGCAAAATAACAGACATCGATTAGATCTTTCGATGCTGATACTTTATGCGTATCAGTTGAGTACGGCACTGTCGTATCTCGAAAGCAGAAAATTTGTTCATAGGTATGTCAGTAAATATGTTTAAATTTAAAACTTTTATTGAAAATTAATGCTATTAATTTAAATTGCTATTTTAAAATGGGAGCATATTCTTTGAAAGATCCTGTATTTATTATAATTCTTATATAATCTTCAGAGATATAGCAGCAAGAAATGTATTAGTATCCTCCCACGACTGTGTAAAGTTAGGAGATTTTGGTCTATCGAGATGGGTGGAAGATCACCAATACTACAAGGCGTCGAAAGGAAAATTACCCATAAAATGGATGGCTCCCGAATCCATAAATTTTCGTCGTTTCACTACGGCGAGTGACGTGTGGATGTTTGGTAAGATATTTTGAGTATATATTCAAATTATTGTTTAAATTTTAGTTAATGTTTTTAAACGTTAGGTGTGTGCATGTGGGAGATATTGATGTTAGGAGTCAAACCATTTCAAGGTGTAAAAAATAATGATGTGATCGGTCGCATAGAACACGGAGAAAGATTACCTCTTCCAGAAAGTTGTCCGCCACAACTCTACAGCCTGATGTCGTTATGTTGGTCCTATGAACCTTCCAAACGTCCTTCTTTTAAAGACATAAAACACGTTTTAAAGTAATTATTATTATTTTTCTTAATGATATTGAAAGATAATTTTTAATTAACAAAAATTACTGATTTTAATTTTGTTTTTAGAGAGATTCTTCAGGAAGAAAGAAAACAACAAGAGGAAATAATGAGAAGAGAAAATAGAAGGGTTCAAGCTATGTCATGGGGTAATTATATTTTAAATTTTCATATTGAATGAATAATATAATAAATACTTAAGTTACCACATGCATTAAAATATAAGATGAGGATTATATTTGGTAAAGTATTTTAATTTTAGAAAAAGATCAATGAAATTAAGTGAGAATCTCTTCTACAGGGTATTTTAAAACAGTCATTTTCATAAAAATATAGCATCCATTATGGGCTCTGTCAAGCCCACTTAGGAAAATCATTATGGGCTCTGTCAAGCCCACTTAGGAAAATCATTATGGGCTCTGTCAAGCCCATAATGATTTTCCTAAGTGGGTAAGTGATGGGCCCAACATATCTGGACAGATCAACCCTTTAAAACAGTATTTTTCAACCTTCTTGAATACACGATTCCTTTACAAGTTAAAAAATTCTGGCGACTCCCCCTAGGGTCGTATTAAAACTATATCAGTGATTTTAAAAACTACATATTCGATTTTCTTTCTGTTGAGACAAATTATTGTTGATTAAAATTAAAATTTCAGGAGAACTTACAATTACTTAACACACATAAAGTATGAAACTTCCTTTAATTATAAGATTGGGCACAGGGAGCTGTTTTTTTTAGGATCAGAATTTTCAGCTTCTACTTTTTATTTCTTTTTGCAAATCAGCCCAACACTTTTTTGGCTATGATTTTCTAGGTTGGGTCGTATCCACCCAGACCCTCCCTGGCTAACCCATGATTGAGACCTAACTATCGATCAAAAGACCAATTGTACTGTAAAATAAACAGGTACAGCCTTCTTGCTGAAATTGTAGTTTTTTAAATGTAGTGTAGGACCTACAAACACTTGTCTTTTTCTTTTACCCGCAACCCCCGGTGTAAGGCTTTGCGACCTCTCTGGGGGTCGCGACCCACAGGTTGAAAAACACTGCTTTAAAAAAATTCTTTGGGCATTATAGCTTATGGTGTTATGCCCCATCACTTACTATTTGATTGTTTCATGCAAACCTACAGTAATTGAGTGCATAACACTTAGATTGTGAGTTTGCACCTGACCAACAACTTGGCTGTATGGAGTTTTCTTATGTATCTGACATCTAAATAGTGGGTATGTTCTCTTAGAAAGTCCTTTTGAGAGGCATCTCTGTCAGTAGATTACCCATGTGTTGCATTGCCTTATATCATTAAAATGATCTAATCCATTGAATGCCTAGTTGCATCTATGAAGGGCATGAAAAAAAGCCTTAACAGAATTTAATGCTGAAATTGAGTCTCTTATGAACTGATAAAAGATTATATTATTCTTTAACAATTAATTCAATTGAAGGTGATATAATTAAAATAAAGCACTACTATAAACAAAATATACAAAATTTGATGTCATTTTTGTATTTATTAAAATATTATTTAGTAAGAATTGTTAAAGTTTAGAGTGTTGGCCTTAACTACCTATGCCTATGCCTTAACTACCACAGTCATCTGACTGTGGTAGTTAAGGCATAGGCATATTGATCTAGGAAACATTTGTGCAATTGAAACACCCAAGGAATTTTTCGTGGACAGTCTGTCGAGACCTTACATCTGGATATGTTGGGTCCTGTTCTTTGTTATCTGGCCACCAAGTATAATAAAGGCAAATTATATTAATCAGATATCAAAAAAGAATTCATAAAATATTTGTATTGGATTGTGTTTGCATTTTCCGGCATTAAATCCTTACATCATGGTATCGCACTTACTATTTATAAAAATAATTAAAGGGTAATTGCAGATGATTACATGTTCACTTATATAGCACATCTATTTTTTATTCATTGACATTATAAGATAAAGACATTAAGCGAGGACTTACTGTACTACTATAAATTTAATAAATATATGGCTCAATATTTACTAATAATTGCTTCTTTTTAGGTTCTTCATATTCTGATGATCCACCTCCAAAGGTAATTGAAAAAGTTATTATTACTAGTACTTCTAAATGTTAAAATTTAATCTTATTTATTTATTCATGATTATTCCAGCCTTCTCGACGTCCACCCAACCGTAGAAGTGTATCTACTCCTCCGTCTTCGCCTTTTGGAAGCATCGGTTTTGGAATCAATCGATTAACTAGTAGTTGGGAAGATGTAGAGGGAGATATTCAGACTAATAATTTTGTTTCAAATTATTCTGTTCCTGACATTAAGAACAAAGTAAGTCCATTGAAATTAATATTTTAATCGATTTTGGACTATTTATAGTTTCACTTATTAACTCTCTACCTACGGATCCTTTTATAATAATTCAACATTAAGAAAACAAAAAATGAATAGGTATATTAAAGAAATAAGAATTTCCTATTGTCTGAACAGTGCCATCATTCAACATTATTGACTGAATAGATAAATTTGTAATTATGTAGCTTTTGTCTATTTTATCAGGGCTGTGGAGTCGCATAAAAATCTACCGACTCCAACTCCGACTCCAACTCTGACTTTTCCTTATCCTCCGACTTCGACTCCGGCTAAAACTCCACGACTCCGACTCCGACTCCGGCTAAAACATCAAAACTCCACGACTCCGACTCCGACTCAACAGCCCTGCCAGGGCTGTGGAAGTCGTGTAAAAATCTACTGACTTCAACTGCGACTCCGACTTTTCCTTACCATCCGACTCTGACTCCGGCTAAAACATCAAAACTCCACGACTCCGACTCCACAGCCCTGTATTTTATCCATAAGCCAATGAATACTTATCCAGTTCCAGTTGGCCAGATGACTGAACAGTTAAGGTGGGAGCCTACTGCTCCAGGGACTTAGGATCGAATCTCAATTGGTCAAAAAACTCCAAGAATTTCTTGGGGTATGGTTTTGTTCTTCATCACCTGGCCAAGCACATAACAGGCTTGCTAAAAATGCCCTCTTAGTGCCTATAGGGTATAAAGGAGAAACCGAATAATGCATGTAAATCTTCACTTTTATTAAAACTGTACTTAAACCTTTTCCACTACACATTAACTTTTCGGACACTCTGAACACCTAGCTTGGCACGGATTGTTTTGTAAGAGTAAAATATTATTTGATACTGGATAATTAGAATATCTTAGTTCTAACTTTTGCGGGAATGAAGTAGGAAATCTTACCGACATTCTCTCTCAGTAGCAACGTTGTAATTAATTTTATTATCTAATTTCATTATACTTTAGAAATATTTATTAGTTAATGTATGTACATTTCAGGGATTACTTGATCAAACCTGCGAACAGAAAATGAACAGTGAGAATATACAATTTTTAGAGAAAAAGTATTTGGCAATGAAACTTCAGCATCAACAAAAACAAGCAGACGAAGATTCTCATTGGTTAGCCGAAGAAGAATTAAGATGCGGTGCTCTTATCCAGGTCTGCTCTTTGATATATGCACAAAAAATTATTGAATGAAAGAACAACCTACAATTGCAATTTTCTTGCAGCCAAAGAAACGATTGTCATTAAGTGATTGTTCGAGGAGTTCGGACACGGACAGTCTAGAAGCAGATAGTAATTTGGGTTCTCTAAACAGAATTCCGCATCGAGGTTTGTGTTTTGTTGTTACAAATATATTGTTTAATGATAAAATGTTGCAAAATGATATGTAAATATATTTATTACAGAAGTAAATAATGCTCTATATACTAGAGTGAATAGTGGAAATGGAACAAATACTACTAATGTAGAGGTAATATAATTTTTAGTAATATAAAATATTAAAATATAAAAGCTTTTTCATGTAAGAAAAGTAAATATTACAGGTAACGTCGGCCCCTACTGCTAATCTTGATAGAACGGGTGATTCTGTATATGATTGTACAACAAAAGTTGTGAGATCAGTTATGGATTTGTTGCAAGGAGTAGAGCAATCCAAATCATCTGATTATCTGCTTTTAGTTAAGGTAATAATAATTATAATGATGATATAAATTTAATATGCTTGTCTGTAATTTAAATATTATATCTAACGTTAATATATTTATGTAACACTAATGGGCTGCCTATATGTACAGTTTTTGAGCCAATTTTATTCCTTCTTGTTGTGTACAAAGATACACTTTGGCAAACTTTTTCCCTTTAATTGTATATACGATAAGTTAGTTTAAGATCAAGGATCCTGACATTGATCCCAGTAGCGGCTAAGTGGATAAAATCACTGAACATTGGTACAGTAGTTGTTCACATACATCTCATCAACTGGCTGGCATTTTCTGGGTTTTTTTCTTGTCTAATTCCTAAATACAAATAATTTTCCTATAAAAAATCCTCTTGATCAATCCTCAAGATTTTTTGAGGGTGTTTTGCCCTGGCTCACCCCTCCCACCTTTACGTTTTGGGCCTGGCCAAACTTGCAATGTATATGATTGATTAAGAGTCTTTCTTAGTGGCCTTATCACAGAAAGAGTAAAAAGAAGTATGGATGGGTATAAATTTGAAACATCTTATCATTAAAACAACACTAAGTGTGTTGTTTTAGTGATACGATGTCTTGTGATAAATGATATTTGAGAGGTAAAATTTGATTTGTACATCTATACAAAAAATGATTTTCAAATTATATAAAATTCATGAATTTTTCAGAATGTCGGCACTGAATTAAGAAATCTTCTTGCAAGTGTTGATGAGCTCTTTCCTACACTTCCTATATGGTCTAATAAAGAGGTAAGTCATGTAAGAATAACTTTTAAAATATAAATTTATATTATTAATGCATAAGATTTTTAAAAAATATTTAGATTGAGATGGCTCACAAAGTTCTAAGTAAAGACATGGCATCTCTAATAGAAGCATTGAGACTCGTCCAAAAGTATTCTTGCACCACCCTAGATCAAGAATATCGCAAAGGAATGTTAGAAGCGGCTCACATATTGGCCATGGATGCCAAAAATTTATTGGACGTGGTCGATTCTGTACGAATACGGGTAAAACACGTCGCGCCCAACGAAAGTTTAGACAAGTTCCCGGAGGAGAGGAAAGCATTTGACAGTAGTGCCTTTAATTCCTGTAGCTCTTCTTGTATAGTGTCTAACAAAGTGGAAACAATTGCCGATTTTTCTGATCATGCAAAACTTCAATCAAAATTACCCCAGACTCAGGTCGACGAAGCAAATGATAGTGGGTATGACGTTACATAAAAAAAAAAAGGATTTCGTATTGATAATTTGTCATCAGAAATGAGAATTTAGTCAAGTTTGAAAGCAATAACTTTCTCAGGATCTCGACAAATTGCACTTCCTGTTTAATTACTATATTGCGGAACGTAGGAGATACAGTATATTTTATTATCAAATCAAATCTGTGATATTCAGAAAGGTTTAATTAGAATTTATGTATAGGTGTATATTTTCACAGTGCTACATTACAGAAATGAGTAGCATTCAGTCACATACAGTTTAGATATTTCTTACTTCGAATGTCTATTTTTATTGTCATTATTTGGGAAAACAAGTGGTATTTCTACAATAAATATTTAAATATACCACCGAAATTGCACGTGATATGCGTATATAATGTGGACATTTTAAGATATATATATATTAAGTGTAAATGACGAGAAGAAATAATATTTCACAATAGTTTTGTGAATTAATATTTTGTCTATTTATATGAAATTTGGCCTAGAATCTGATCAAGAAAATGTAAAGCAGCTTATTTTTAATCATTTCTGTCAATGGTCAAGGTGGTTAAAGCGTCAGTCTATTACTACTACTAGGATCAGATTAAATCTAGGAATTTTTATTGGTGGTTCATCAAGCCTTATCCTTCACCATGCATCTTCCCTATTGTGGGCCTGGTTAAACCAGTGATGGATATGATTGAAAAGACCTTTTTAGTGCTTACAGTAGAGGGGAAAAATTCTTTTTACTCCGTCTTTTCTATTATGCCTGCCTCTTATCAGCTGGGGCCGTATTCTGGTCTCCGTCTCTGGTCTCTCGTCTCTCACAAGCCGGTCACTGATTGGCTAATCCAAATGATTAGCCAATCAGTGACCGGCTTGTGAGAGACGAGAGACCAGAGGCGGTGACCAGAATATGGCCCCTGGTTTACTTTTAAGTCTTCATGATATCTTTTAACTGTCTTGGCAGCTCTCCACATTTTCAGGGATGTTTTGTGCTTAAGTTAGACATGCTTAGTTGTAATGATTAATCATCTGTTGTATTCTTCAACATTAAACTAATTACATAAGAATCAGGTGATTTTGAGCAATCTTATTATTCAGATCATACCCAAGTTTGATTCATGGCATAGACAGACTATAGACTATACTAAGCCACAAATCTAATGTGAATTATCATTACTAATCGTTTTCCAGTTTCTGTGTGTTATTTTTGTCTGTTTTATTGTACATGAAATTAAAATTCGAGTGGTTAAATTTATAGTTTATACAGAAATATATTACGGACGGTAATCAAACAGGATTTTTCCTAACGACTTGTATATTAAGGCAGCAAACTGTAAATGAATATACAGAGATATTTTATGGATGTTCATAGATGTTTATATTTGTTAATCATCCAATGCAGTACCTGATTCACAAAATGGTGTTTTAGATGATTTTTCGTAAAATGCAATTTTTGGTGATATTTTGTACGAATACTTTACAAAATAATTTTTTTAAAACAGAATAGTCTTTATAGAATGTACATTCACACTTCATATTGTTTGAAATGGAAATTTTACTATGTCTAAATAAAAATTGAAATTTGTCATGGTAAACATTTTGTACTTTGTCCTTCATTTTTTGATATAAAAACCCTTGATATAAATGATTTTTATATATCAGTTTTATAAAATACAATTGTTATGGTTTACAATAAGGTTTCCAGTAAAAAAAAAACCTTTAAGTAAACCACGTTTTGGACCCATCAGTGGCCAAGAGGTTCTGTCCCCTGAATATTGGGAATTTCATTGTTGGTTTACACCTCGCCGGGACAGATCCCCCTAGGCAGATTGCCCAAATGTTGCGTTGCCATAACTTAACAAACAAACCATGTTTTTGAGGTGTATAATCAAATAAGTACCTACAGCAAGTTAAACAAGCGTTATTGTAACTTAACTTTGTACCTTCAACCTACTCTGAGTTTTACAGGGTATCCCAAAAGTCTCCACTGGCCGAATAAATAAAACCATTGAACACTTGGTCATTGGTTCATGCCTGACCAATGGGTTGGCCACCATGAAATGTTCTGGGTTTTCTTCATGTGTCTAGTTTCCATATAGGAAGTCCTACTGGAAGTTAGCCTATTGGCAGATCAGCCGTGTGCTCCGTTGCCTTACTCTGTCAATCGCCTTACACAAAACGTTGCTGACATTGTTTTGTGAATAAAGTTACATTTTATCTTTGTATTTATGGAAACTTTTGTTACACCCTGTATGTTCTGTTAATTAAAGAACCGTAGAAGTTTACACGTGGACTTCACGAGAAAACATGGCTGACTTGCATGCGGTTTGTTTTCATAAATAAACGTTAACTCTTCTGCTACGCGATAGACAGAGCCTTGTCATATTTTATTTCTTATTATTACACTTCCTCCAAAAGAAAAAATAAGATTTGCTTAATGATTACATGGTTACAACCTTCGTAAACCAATCTTTTCTCTTAGCAAATCAAATCGGACATGTTTAAGCGACTTCATGAACAGATTAGCCAATTGGTTGTTTCTGCCAATGTGTTCCAATTTGGGTTCATCATTTAAAAATCTTTCACGTACATAAAAGTGTCGAACTTCGATATGTTTGGACCATTAAATTAAATACCGGATTGTTTGCTAGCTTTATGGCACTTGCGTTGTCAATATGAAGCGTTGGAGGCTTCTCTGGCATGTCAATCAATTCAGACAATAAACGTTGTAGCCAAATTAATTCTTTTGCTCCTTCACTTGCTGAGATGATCTCTGCTTTAGTTGTGCAAGTTGCAACTACTTTTTGTGATTGGTTAGTTTATGATATAGCTCCACCCAAGAATTTCGCGATGATTCCAGTCGTTGAACGTCTTGTCTTTCTCATGAAAGGAAAGTGATTATGAGTCGGAAATCCATCCTTATCGTTAACATAGCCAACCAACTGTCCGAAAATAGCTTTATTCTCAAATTCCGATCGAAAACTTCTTGTTTACATGTTCGTAGCATCGTGCCGAAAATTCTGATGATCAAGTCTTCCTATTGTTCTATCATACCATAATTCATAAGGAGCTTTGTTTTGAACTGAAGATTTTCCAGTACGATTCAAAAGATATACGGCAGTGTTGCATGCTTCTGCCAACAATCTTTTCGGTAATTTGCTTGGATTCAGCATAGAACGTGCTGTTTCCAGAATGATACGATTTTCACGTTCAGCTGCACCATTTTGCTCAAGTGTATAAGGTGAAAAAATTCATTGTTCTATCTCTCTGTTTGCGAGCAATTCAGCAACTCTTTTGTTGACAAACTACTTCCATCATATCTAAATTGTTTGACATGTCCTTTGTTCTAGCTTTATTTAAAAATTGCTCAAGCACATTACGTACTTCGGTTTTCTGTTTCAAGAAGAAAATTAGACGAAACTTGCTGAAGTCATCCTTGAAACATACGTAGTAACGTGCTCCTAAAGATTCGATTGACATTGGTCCATTCAAATCGGCATGGATCAATTCGCCAGTAACTATTGGACGATATATTCTTTGCTGGTAGTCTACGCATTTTTCCCAAAGCACATCACAGAATTCTTTGCAATCTTCCATGTTGATGTTCATTTACTTCAAAACATCTTTTACGTGCTGTTTATTTTGATGACCAAACCTTTCATGGTAAACTTGTACAGTATCAGACGCTGGTGGCCGGATGGCCGAGCGGTCAAGGTGGCAGCCTACCGGTCTGAGGGACATGGGCCCGAATCCGAACGGGTCGAAAAATTCCTAAGAATTTTTCGGGGGATGGTCCGTTTGGAAATGTCAGGCCCCGTCCCTCACCACCCAGCAGCCCCATTGTTGGCCTGGCCGAACTCATAATGGACTTGCAAAAAGAGGCCCTCTTAGTGCCCACAGGGTGGAAAGAGTTAAAAAAAAAAGTATCAGACGCTGTCACCAAATTCACTGAAATGTTTTCATGTCGTTTTACAACGCGTGTATATCGAGCATGTACAGATCATTTTTCATGTAACTAGTCATGATAGTGTTCTCATCGATTTTGTCTCGACTTTTTACACTTCTGTCATCGATTACTATCCTGTGGCTGTTCGATGCTGCTGCTCTGACGAAAAACAAGTGGACACTACAAAATATTTTTCATTTCAGCATTATACCAGATATTGTTTTGTCGAACTTGAATCTTTATTGTTCCTTTCCCATGAGCATGATACTCATATTTTGCTTTTCAAGTGAGATTACTTCAGAAACAGTAAATTCTCCATAAAAGGTGAAGAATAGTTTGTTTGGGATAATACGCTTAGTAGTGCCACTATCACAATACCATTTATTTGCATCAATGTAGTTTCCAATCTACGCACCCATGACACGTAAAATGAATACCGCATTGCCACTTCGTTGTTTGTTAGTCCTGACACCTGTTTTTTTTCTGTAGACAATCTGCTGCCCAATGACCCAATTGTTTGCACTTATTACACGGAAATCTTTTGCTTTGCCCGTTCCACTGGCATTTTCGTTTTTCCAGAATTCTGCTTCATTTTATACTCGCCAGATGCGACGAACGCATTTGCCTTGATCACGCAGTTTTTCAATGAATAAATTCAAACTCATTTGTTTGCTCTGTTGGTAACTCAACAGGTACACGTTTTCCGTCAATAATAATAATTATCTTTTAATCCGTATGAACGCAACACTATAGAAACATGCCATTTCTATTTTGCCCAGTCTTTAGGTCTTTCAAGCTTTTGTAGAGTTGAGTAAGAATTTCATAATTTAGTAAGAGCAAATGTTATTTTCAGTAAAACGAAGCATAGTGTAAAGTGAAATGAAGCATGGCGTAAAGTTTTCATTTTATCAGATTCATGCGCTGCCCACTGTGCTACTCAGGCTGATGACTCCCACAAGACTGTCCAATAAATTCTGTTCTATATTTTATCAAAAATTCCTCTAAGTGTGCTTTCTCGCAGCTGAAAAAACAACGGATGAACATTTTCGGGAGAACACTTTATCGTATGGCAGTAAGTTGAGTCGGTGCTGGAGAGACAGCAGTGATTCTCTCAGTGGCTAGGCCCAAAACAATCCATGCACTTGACTGTTGCGGACAGGCAAACTTTCCACTTGCCTCAGTCAAAAGACATTATCCTGGTAACTGTATATAAGGCTAGGCGCACACGATGAAATTTTTCCTGACAATGGATGAATTCAAATATAAGCCATATTTAATCCTTTCCCTCTCCTACGATGAGAAAATTTCCAAAAATCCCTTCTAAAGGCTGGTATACACGGTAAGGAAATCCTCAAAGGATGTGCTTAACAGACGAAAAAAACTTGGATATAACTGGCTGGATCGAGCATAGTAATTTACAAAACTTATTAAAATATCTCCCAGCGTATAAAGAATTATTTTTATTTAAAAATGGATAGATAGAAAAAAAATCACGGTTAATCCTCAAAGGATTTCCTTACCGTGTATACCAGCCTTTAGTGTGCGTTTTCATGACGTAACCTAACTGTGTACCAAATTTCACCTCTTTAGGTTCAGCGGTTTGCTCCGGGCGACGATGAATCAATCAGTCAATCACTCAGTCAGTCAGCACAAGTAATTTTTTATATTTAGATTAGTTTGGAACATGAAAAAATGGCAATCTTGAATTTTCCTATGCTTTAATACAATTCCGGGATATTCTTCGAATATATTCTTATAATTAATTCTGCTTCGGTCATGGGTTCGTGACTGGCCAGGACGGGCTGGCCACGTAGAGTTTTCCGAGTTTTTTCGACGTCTGTAACGCCTAAATAGGGGCCAGTTTCCCTTAAAAGGACTTCCCAGAATGCATCACCAAAGTGTTGCGTTTCCATAACTAAACGAACTAAATATGAAATTACCCTTTATTTATAGATATTGAATACAAAGTCTTTATAAGTAATTTTATTAACTTATTTCATTCATTATTTTATTATCACAAACTTTTGATGTTTGTATAGTTTATCATATGGTTAACGCTGCTTATCCCAACAAACTCTTACGCCATAAAAAGTGAATAAACCATATCAAATCAAATCAATTTTTTAATAAAATTCTAACCTCAAAATCAAGCTTTTGCCGTCTTATAATAATTAAAAACATAAAAAAACTTTTTGTAGTAAAATATCGTAACAGATGGCGCTAAACGCAATTTATAATTTTGACCGGAAAGTCAAGCAACACTTTGCTAGGTATTTATAAAACTAAATTAATAGACTAAAACACTTCGTATTCAATTGTACTAGTTAAACTTTCTAATCGACTCAATTAATGTATATTACTTTTCAGTTTATTTATGATTTTATTAGAATCCATTTCTAGAAAGTTTACAGAACATTACACAAGTTCTGCAAACTTATATTCTGTATATACTTTTATATTACTTAGGTTTGCACAGCTAATGTAATATGGAAATTGATTTTCAAAGATAAGGAATAACTTACGTACGATAGTCTATTGTATTTCCTGTGTTTATTCATTTCAAAGAATTTAATATATTCTAAATGCTTCTCATTATAGCAATGCCTTCACTGATTTATTACCGATATTTCAACTTTATAGATATCGAATTAAATATTTCATAACTTCAATATTTCAATAACTTCATAAATTCAATATTTCATTTCAGAGTAAGTTCTATTTCTGAAAATCTATAAAATCAATAAAGTCTGTCTTTCTAGAAGGGTTTATTAATTAAAGATTAGTTTGGTTTCCAAAACGTACCTAATGAAATATATAATAACATATTTAATATACTGCGTGTCGTTTATATTATACCATCGAAGTAAATGCGAATATTTATTCTAATCGCATATATTCGATATTATTTTGTAAAAGTTAAAAAATGATAATGAAGACATATTTAATTATATGAATCATATATATAAATTATCTCACTTATTCACCATATTATAAAGTAGAATACGTAATATATTGAGTTATATAATTCCTCTACCAGTGTACAGGTTCGTAGAATATATTGCTTCGTGCGCAAAGCGTTTAAATCAGATGCCAGTTAACGTAGTATCTTATCATAACTGCATAAATATGTACGAGTGTATGTAAATTATTATTGTTTGAATATCATTTTAACATTATTTACCGTCTAATCTGGTGCATATACGAAAAATTACATTAAAGAAAAGAATGTCGACTAAAAAAGTGTGTTTGGGATACATTTTAGCACCAGTTCTAAAATCGGCTAAAGTGTATGGATTGGATATTTGTACTCCATGCAATTGTATGAAAAGCAATGCAAGAAAAGAAGATAATAGACTTACTCGCAAGTTATTCACGACATATTGCGATTTACTCGAGGTATTTTTGTGGATAGTAGTTTTACTTTTCTTGTTAAGACTATATGATCACAATGTATATTGTTTACGTGTGATACACATGTACAAAAGTTATGCCCAACCAGCAGCAGCCGGCTGCGCATTTTTCTCCATTTACTTAGCTGGTCAGTTCAGTATTGCGAAGAGAAGGAAACTTTCAATGCATTGTGTAATTAGCAGTTACGTAGAAGAATGGGAAATAATCGATCAGATGCAAAAATATTTAATTTATTTTATTTCCGGGTTATTTTTTATATCAACGACTNAATGTGTTACTGCTACAGATCGTGAGATCGATCCAGCTTTTGCCGATGGGCGCATCGAACGTCGGCAGGGAGTCAGGCTGGTTAAGAATATGTAAATTGTTTGCATTTGTAAATTCAAGAATCTGGTCGGCCCGTTCATCGTTATCCGGGTCTCCCCAGAGCTCAGAGTGAGCGTTCAGATCGCCACTTATAATAATGTTCTTGTCTCTAAAGTGATTAGTAATTGTTTCCATTTCTTGGATAATTGGAGTTAAATCCATTGTAATCGGGCAATAAACACTCAACATCAGGAAGTTCCTTGGACCATTACCCACCTCGAAACATGTTATAAATTTGTTACTAAGTTCATGATGAAAAACCACTGGTATATTTGGATTACTTATCACAGCAACCGTGGACGGACAAAAGTCCTTATTGTATATTACCCTGTAAGCTGTCCGCAGACACGCCGGTATCCCTTTACAACAATAGGGTTCCTGGATCAACGCTAAGTCCACTTTTTCTAATGTCTTGACTAATGCCGAGGTTCCGCTGATGGATCGTTGAACGTTTATCTGTACAATTTTTATCATACCATCCTTTATTTTGCTTGTATTATTATTCGCCATAATCAGTTTTATCTATTAATATTTTCCTGATTCTCTGAATCAGCGGGCACTGTTTAGAGCAAGCGTTATGGTTCAATACTTTCAGCTTTTCTCTTTTACAATTGACGCACTCTGTCTTGTCTCTCCTAGTACAGTCTTTAAACTTGTGATCAAGGCCGCATTGGCTACAAGTCGGCCCTTTCTCCGTACAATCTTTAGCTATGTGACCAATTTTACAACATTGGTAGCATTGTGTGACCGCTATATAATCATCGACCCCGCACCTGGTCCATCCCTCTTCTATTGACAATATTGCGGATGGTTACTGAATTGTGTTGCACTAGCAATGCAATCTTATAAAATGTTTAGGTTATTAAACTTGATTTTATGCTGCTTCGTTTCTATGAAGAAAAGCTTAATTAATTTATGGAAATTTACAGAAACAGCAACCAATGTACAAATTATTAAATAATCGAACAAATGTTAGCAGGCTTCGACATTGAATTGCAGTAGTACCTACTATGGATGATACTTAATATAATTTCATTACGTAGAACACGTCATCTCATGTATCTCTAGTTTGTGTTACTAGTTTTTTTTACAATTTTACGGCTACAAAATGCTTTAAAATTGTTAATTTAATTCCCGATATTTACTTTACATATTTAGTAATTAATGTATTTATTGGATGCATGTTTAGTCATCTTAATAATGCAAAACAGAAAAAAAAAAAAAAAAACTTGAGTCTACAGAACTGAAGAGAGAAAGTACGTGAGAGCCGGTGCCACACCTGTGCAATATTTCCCAAATTTTTCATGTCAAGTGCCCGGTATCCATAACTTTCCAGCATTTTTTCTGAATCTCTTGTACAGTGACAAGTAAAATGATTTAAATGTTACTTATATACTTTTGTTTTCTTTCAGATGTATGACAGCTTTATAAATATCGAAAAAATCTCACCTGTGGACCTTCCCTTACAGTTTAAGTTCAAGGTAAGATGTATGTTTTATAGTTAAATCGAATACATTTTCCTGTGTACAATCTGATGACACGAAACGTGTGAGAAGCTGGGTTTTGTTGCACGAATAATTTGTTAATGACAGAATTTATTTTCGACAATTGCGATAATGATACCAAGACAATAAGTAATTTAAAATAATTTACACGAGAGAAATTTACTATGTGATACACATGTACAAAAGTTATGCCCAACCAGCAGCAGCCGGCAGCGCATTTTTCTCCATTTACTTAGCTGGTCAGTTCAGTATTGCGAAGAGAAGGAAACTTTCAATGCATTGTGTAATTAGCAGTTACGTAGAAGAATGGGAAATAATCGATCAGATGCAAAAATATTTAATTTATTTTATTTCCGGGTTATTTTTTTTATCAACGACTCTNTTGGTGGATTTTTCTACATAAAAAAGAATTTTATCATAAGAGTGAGTATTTGAATATTTAATTAAAATTATAAAGTTATATTTAACATCTTAAAACACTAGCAGATAAGCCAGGCATTGCTCGGGCAAAAAGTAACAATAGCGAAGATTAACATTATTGCATTACAGCCAATCTTATCCGTTTTCACAGAATGCATGAATTAAGTTCTTTGTTTCCAGACTGATTAGAAAATGTTTAAATGTGTCCAAAAATATGTTCGATTTCCTGAAAAACGCAAAACACCGCATCTGCGCATGTAAAACTTGCACTCCGCTTTCTCTTAACACTTCCATTGTTAACAGGAAGGAGGGAAATTTCGAAACATCCTTTCGTATTGTGGGTTCTCATGACGTACCCTAACAGTGTAACAAATTTCAACTTTCAACTTCTAATCGTTTGGGCTCTGCGCTTATTATTATTATTATCAACCCATCTCGATTATATAGATAGATACAGGAGTTTTAAACTATGTACGGTACATTTTTTCATATGTCAAAATAGTTTTAGCTATAGCAATCATAAATTAATATCTACTGTGTTTATTGTAATTAATATTACTATATTTGTTAATCATGAGATGTTTTCATCTATAAATATATATGATATTATAAATTCCTACTTTGTACAAATTTGTTTTTATTTCTTTGGCCATAGATTCTTCTGCAATTTATTTTATTTTTAATAAACTAGAAGTTGTATATAGTTAGTCGGGACCTTTTTTCATTTTCTTCACTGGAAACTACTTTTTTCAATGTACAAATCCTTAAGAAATATATGAGATGTACAAAAATATATAAAACTTTAATAATATATACACATTTAATAATGTATTATTTTATTTTCAGATGGTGAAAGGTTTGTACTCCATATTTTCATCTTTCATTCAGATTACTGGAGTTTTGCAAGACGAAAAAAAATGTACAGTGAAAAATGTACAGTGAAATATAGAAATAATGTAGAATTGAAACACAATTTAACAATTTCACATTAATGAAATTTAATCAAAATAAAAAACACATATTTTTATCATTCACTCGTTTTTCTACAGTATCCCCCCTATAACACTGTAGATAATTCCGTGCTATATGAATTCCATGTTGTACGAGTCACTTAGATTTTACAAATAGGTAAGCCGTTCATAGCCAGTCACACATATTTGTAAAATTTAAGTGACTCGTACAACATGGAATTCATATAATACGGAATTATCTACAGTGTTATAGCGGGGCCTACTGTAAAAGAATAAGTGAATAGTTATAGTGAGTAGTGTTATAGGGGGGTCTACTATATAGGATTTTGTGTATTTTGTGCATGCATGATATGACATATTAGTGACATTTATTATAAATTGGAAGTTTATACTTAATACTTCACGCTTTTGAACATCATACTTCTCATGATAACAATCGAGTCATAATGATCATTCATTTTACTCTGATCTCCAGATAATAAATGCCAGGCAGACGAATTAACAGTTGTCAGAATGTATAGATGTACAATTTGAAAATCGCAGCCCAATTACTAGTGAAACTACACTAATGTAATATTACAATTTAAATAAATAACTTACGTTAATCTAACTTGCAGTTTATAATGACATTTCCAAATACAGTAACATCTTCACTGTAGTTTCTACTGTAAGTCTTTATCTACAAACAAGACGTTTTGAATTTTGTAGAAAGCGTAGGCAACAATAGCATACGATTAATGTGTTTTAATGTATATGGATGAATGTATGTAAATAAAATTAAATACAGTAATACTACGAGTTACATAAGTAATGGGGACCTGAAAACAGTTAAAATTTATAGGTGTAAAAATTTTTTAAATTGCAGCCCAATAATGTTTCCACAAAGCAATTATTTAAGCATTTTTAGAAGTTTTTTTTTTATTTAAAGAAGTTTTATATGAAGATTTTCGGACAGTAAGGTTAGCAACTTCTATCGCGTTCAGCGCCATAAGAACCTCTCTAACACGGATCACTTTTTAAACTTGTGATCAAGGCCGCATTGGCTACAAGTCGGCCCTTTCTCCGTACAATCTTTAGCTATGTGACCAATTTTACAACATTGGTAGCATTGTGTGACCGCTATATAATCATCGACCCCGCACCTGGTCCATCCCAGGTTGGTCTTTTTAATTTGGATCATTAATTTCCTTATTGTTGGGGTAGTTTCTAGTACCCAATTCGTTGTGTTTTTATTTTTGTTCCCAAATTGAAACTTGACTTCTGTGTTGTTACTAAACTCTTCAGCTGTCATATTCGTTTTGATTATTTCATTTTGTTAATAGAGACATTCTGTTATCTCATCCTTGGTTATGTCAGTTGCAACACCATACAATACAACCCTTGGTTTTCTTCTTGATGGTACCTTTGTTTTCAGACCTGCTTTAGTTTCTATTGCCTTCCTTAGTTTTTCTCTCTCCTCTGTCGTTGCTACCTCAATGGCAACGCCACCTCTCCTGAGTTTCCGTACTGACTGTATTCCGATACCCATCTTTTTGGGGTTAATCTTTTTCTTTAGTTTTTGCTTGGTTCGTTCTGCGTCGTCTTCTTCAGACTCCGGATCAACAAGTATTACTTCTTTTTTGGGTTTCTGTACCTTTCTTGTCGCTATCTGTGCGTATGTTGGCGTAGTTGGAGTTTTCAGCTCAAGTATAGTGTCAATTTTCTTTTGTAGTTTCTGCACTGCCACTTGCAATGGATCTCTAGTTCTTTCCTTTAACATCTCGATAATTCTGTCGATCTGGGTGCACACGTAGGTAACGTGTTCTTCTGTATCTATTCTGCATCTCTTATGCGATGTCATGTAATGGATCACCTCTTCGCGGATACCTTCCGCGGTTTTCACCTGCTCGTCTTCAGGCAGGACATCCATTTCTTCAGGTGACGACAACTCGTCGTCGGAAACAAGTAAATGCGGCCTTTTAGCCGACATAGTCCTGAAAAGGACTGGAAAGTCTTTGATTGCAGTTGTCGCTTAGTTTCGCCCTTTCGGGCTACTTGCAGGCAGGACCACGTGGAGGTGCGACACTACTTCCCCTGGACTGTTATAAGTGTTAAAAAGAGCAAGACTAAAAGAGCACAGCGAAATTCGCCAAAGAATAGCCAGTAAAGCTCAAAAGAACGCAAAACAAATCAATGGGGCACCCTGCCCACAAGCATTAGCAATGACAAAAGTTTTCTGATAAGTTATTTTTTTGCGAAAAATTCGCTGAAGTTTAGAGACATCATTAATGTAAATAATTTTTATCGCCGTTGAATAAGAAATGTTTCTTTCACAAGAAATGTATAAAATTACAGTACTGTATTAGACTTAGGCAGCTAATTTACATACTGTACAGACGATAGTTAGCGTAAAATCTCCGTAGCGTAACGCTACGCGGCAAAAAAAAATATATATATATAATTATAATAAAGTTACAATAAATTAAGTTAATATATATTTATATATACAGTATCTAATTTATATATAATTAATATATAATTATATGTACAGTATACAGTACCTATTTATATATAATTTATATAATACTGTCCAGACGATAGAAATCTTTCCGTAGCGTGGCGCTACGAACGGCAA